CTTGTAAAACAAAGGCAACTGTTCTCCTTACTGAGGATCAGAGGAACCACTTTAGTGGATGTTTTGGAAATTACCTCTATAGCAGCTGTTGAAATTCTGTCAACTGCTATTTAGCAGGATAGATACCATTCTGGATCTCACCTTGCAAAAAGCTGGTTTTCCTTGTACTCAGTGTGATCATTAAAATTGGAATGTTATCTCCACCTCTGATTTTCAGTGTGAGGTTAATCAGAAGTGGCCAGATATTGTTTATACATTGCTCAGAAAATTGAGAAACCTTGGTTTTTTCTGACAAAGGGCTATCAGGAAAGCACATTTCTGAAAGAACGCCAGCCTCGGCCTTCTGGTTGGCATGGCACATATTGTTAAGTTCGTCCAAGGTCTAGGTAATAAACTTAATATTAAGGTGAGTGCTTGTTTCAATCTGATCCGACATCTTAGTTTGATTATCTCTTTCCTATCTCTGTAGTCCCTATGTAGTGATTCTTAACCTTTTGGTATTAAGGAAGTATGTGGGGCTCTCCAGGTGGCTCAGTGGATTAGTGCCTGCCTTTGGCCCAGGCCGTGATCCTGGAGTCCTGGGATCAGGTCCCGCATTGGGCTCCCTGCATGGAGCCTGCTTCTCCCTCTGCCTGTGTCTCTACCTCTCTCTCTCTCTCTCTCTCTCTCTCTGTGTGTGTGTGTGTCTCTCATGATAAATAAATAAAATCTTTAAAAAAATAAAGGAAGTATATATCATATTTTCTTTCTGAGCCATATACACTTAATTATATATATGTATGTATGTATGTATGTATATACACACAGCATTTTACGTATAGTTTCAGGGCTTCTGAGGAGTTAAGTTACACCCTTTAAACTTAAACCCCATTCAAATATCTGTGAAACCTTGAAGCTGACTTAGGCTGAATGAGTCACCCACTCTATATTTTGATAGCACTTGAATTAGACCTCATGTTTGTTACTATAATAATTGCATTTCTCTCTTCTGTACTGGGTAGTGACTCTCTCTTTCTAACCCTTGAATAACAAGCATGCAGCACAAAACAGAGCCAGTATACTTTGTGTTTAGGGATTGATTCAATAATTTAGTGAATTGGACTGGACTGGGAAATTCCGTAGGAATTCGGGCCATTTCTGTTTTTACTGTCTGCTGTATGCCCAGCTCCTAACACAGTACTTGTCACATGGGAGGGATTTTGTAAGTATTTGTTGAGTAAACATTGGATGACACAGGTCTATTCACTGAAAGTGACTGGTGGATAGAATTCCTGTAAGATTTTGTGAACAAGAATCATGCATTTCATAGCTGCCTAATCTTGGGTGCAAAAATGGCAATAGATGTTCCTAACTCTTCTAATGTTATACCTCAAAACTCTTTGTATCCTCACTCCATTTCCCTACCCATCCTACCACTCCCCCACCCCATGTCTTACATTCCTTATAGTCATCCTCTTGTTTTCATGAGTACCATTTGAGCTTTCAACTCCATGTCTTGTGTCTTTCTCTCTCTCATTCATATTTCTGACCACACAACACAAATGTATTGAGTGTTTACCATGTGCCAAGTATTGGGCACTGTCCACATGGACAGCAAGTACCTGGCCACCCCCCACTTGCTGCTAGGAGTAAGTTTTCTAAAGGAAGAAATAAGCATGAAAAGAGATCACCATAATAAAGTTGGTAAAGGACTAACACAGAGGGCAAAAATGCTATTAGAGGATAAGAGTTGTTGTTGTTGTTGTTGTTGTTTTTACATTAGTCCCTGGAATGTCACTCTCCCACATCTCCCCTCCTCCCACATAGCTTGTTATATGTCTAGCTGCCCTTTAAGAATCCAGCCCACATCTTCCTTCTTCAGGAAGTTTTGCGGAATGGTTTCTGCTTAATATTTTCCCCTACTCCCTCACCCCAATTTGCTTTTTATAGCATTTGTTGCAATTCTCCCCTAGACTACATGCCTCTGGGTCAGCAACTGTACCTTTTCCATTTTTGTGCCCTTGTTCAGTTCTTTAAAAGTGGTAGTTTATTGAATGGAAATATGTGTCCTTTTTTGGTCACGACATTCCTCCCACTTACACCCCACACTTCAGCACATGGTTTATTTCCTCTCAAAGATCTCAAAGTCATTTCTCGTGCTGTTCTTTACCTCCTATATTTTGTGGTAGGCTGCCATGGCTACCACTATGCATTGGAAAAGTTGTTCTCCTGTCTAACTTCCCTCTTTTGAATTCAAAATGAGGAACTGATTGGTCAACTAAACGGATGACTTGTTTTCTAGCCAGACAAGTGTTTGCTTCACAGTGGACATCAACTTATGTTAACCATTTCTCATATTTGTGAACTTGTTTTTCCTCTTTGGGTATCTAGATTTTTGTTTGTATCTTTTTTTTTTCTGGATTCCAAATGAATGATTTTGAAATCTGCAGTATTTACTTTTAGGAATACTTTATTGTGTCTAAAAACATACTGTGAAAAAAAATAAAAACATACTGTGTGGGGCACCTGGGTGGCTCAGTTGGTTGAGTGTCTGCCTTTGGCTCAGGTCATGATCCTGGCATCCTGAGATGGAGCCCTGTGTCAGGCTCCCTGCTCAGTGGGGAGTCACTTCTCCCTCTGACCCTCCCTCTACTCGTGCTCTTAGTCTCTCTCTTTCAAATAAAATCTTTAAAAAAAAAGCATTTCTTCATATTTGTAGCACATATTTTGAATCCTAAAACAAATGTGTTTTAAATAGTTTTTACATAAATGATGCTTGATAAGTCAAAAAAATAAGTTTCTTTTAGTACATTCTTAAGAAGTGCTGTTGACAAGTTCAGTACTAATTATTAAGTTCTTATCCTGAACAGTATGCTTTTCCAGTTTATCACTAACTGGGGGAATTGACCTCATATAAATAATAGAGCCATAGCACACTATTAACACTGGGACTGGCCCAGGTGTGGCATATGCAGGACCACAGGATAGGGTAGGGAGACACTGTCAGGTAGGATTAAAAGCAAAGGCCTCAAAACTGCTAGATCCAAATTTAAATTTTAGCTCTGATACTACTTAGCTCTATGACATTGGCAATCACATAACCATTCTAGGTCTTTATAGCCTCATCTATAAAATGGGCAAAAGGGTGTTCCAAACTCGTGAAGTTGGAATATGGGCCAGATGGGATAATGGAGTACATGTAAATACCTGTGTCAGTATTTTTTCCGCCCAACTACTCCCAAAGAGAGGCGTTTATTCTTAGTTAAGAAGCTAGTGAAAAACCTTTGTTCATTTGTCTGGAAAACTGAGTTTTAGCTTTGTTCTGTGTTATCTAAAATACCTCTTTATCTGTCTTTCTCATTATTTTTTCCCACCTGTAAAACTAGAGCATATTTAGTCTGATCTGTCTATTTCATGGGGATATAAGAACAGCTAAGCTAACAAATGAGAGAAGAAAATAGCTTTGAACTGTTTAAATGAAAGGTGCCACAAAAATCAAATAGAGTTTTATAGATAGTCTAAATTCAATTTAAACCAAATCTGACATAAATTCATTCTAAGAGTACAGGTCTCTGTGTCCTTACGCTTTGTGATAATCTAAGAGCACTGAAATATTTTGCTGATGTGACAAGTGTCTAGAAACACTGCTTATCAAAACAGGATAAATTGCATTCAGAAAATAACTGAGCATATAACAACTTCCTCTTGAAAATCATCTGTGTGAATCAAATGTGTAGTGATATTTTTAAAAGACATGTTCCTATGACAAAGAATTGCAAAATATGCTGTTCAGTGTAACTGTCATATTTCAAAACACATGCTCCAGGAATTGAAGTGAGAAAACCTTCTGTATTCAGGAATCAAAGTTAAATATATAAATACAGTAAATCTAAAGTACAAGCCAATAATAGCCTCCCTGAATTTTCAAGATCTAAAAAACCTAAGACATGACCCAGTCTGTTTTGTCACAGATTAATTATTGATTTCTTAAAGAAAAACAAAGTTTGGGATCCCTGGGTGGCGCAGCGGTTTGGCGCCTGCCTTTGGCCCAGGGCGCGATCCTGGAGACCCGGGATCGAATCCCACATCGGGCTCCCAGTGCATGGAGCCTGCTTCTCCCTCTGCCTGTGTCTCTGCCTCTCTCTCTCTCTCTCTGTGACTATCCTAAGTAAATAAAAATTATGTAAAAAAAAAAAACTTAAAAAAAAAGAAAAGAAAAACAAAGTTTTTCTAAAAGTAAACGTTCCACATATAATTTTGTCGCAGTTGATATTAGTGGGGCTCAGAGAGTCAGAATAGGATTCTGGTTATGTTGAATAAGACAATCTCAAAATTGTATAAATCAGCAGAAGTATATAAAAATGTAACTTGGATTAAAAATATATTTAACTCTTGGTGTAAGACGCATAAAATATCTTTTAGTTTTAGATTCTGAAGTGTATAATATTTGATAATATAAAAGAGGAGGATAAGTAGAAGGAAAACCCAAAAAAGTTCAGCAGTGGTAGACAGAGTGATTCAACAGAGCAATCAATACTGAAACCAGACACCTAAGGTGAGGCAATTGTCAGAGTGGTTGGCATCACAAATTAACATAATTAGTGAACGAATGTGGAAAAATGAAAAATAAGTGTTTCTTAAATAGCAGCACATGAACTTGCTTAAGTTGCCTTAATCGTTTTTCAAAACTTTAACCTTGTTTCATTATGAGCACAGTATTTCCAGAATTCAAATACTGAATCTTGAGACAGGAAGTTTGTGCTTTTAAATTCATATCTCAGTTCAGAAATCCTGTTTTCCTTTTGCAGAAAGCATAATGAGACTTTACGTTCATTCTTTGCAGAAACATTGTCAAATACTTGACCAACTAGTTTGTAAAAGGTACAACCAGCATAGATATTTGTATGTTCTGTGCAAAATTAGATGAGTGTGTGTGTGTGTGTGTGTATACACACACACACATTTGTATATTTTCTATACATGTAGCTAAATACTGAACATCTTTCTTTTACTTCTTCTAGGGCTGTAAGAAAATAAAAAACTTTAATAATGTGATACCTGAAGGCATGAACTTGAGTTTTCTTATAGCCTTGGTTTCAAACAATGGAGATTACACGTGCGTTGTTACATATCCAGAAAATGGGCGTATCTTCCATCTGACTAGGACTCTGACTGTAAAGGTGGTAGGTAAGCATGATTTTATATTAAGTGTGCACAACAAAAATGTGACAATTCTGTTTTGGCTCTTGATAGTTCATTACAAAGATGTGTGTCAATTTTATGAGAAAAGAGGTTTATCATTTTTGTTCACTGCACTATCCCTAGAGCCACAACAATTCTACATCCACAGTAGGGATTCAGTAACTATTGGCCGACTGAATGAACCAATATGTGAATGAAGGCAGGCAGTTTGGAGAGTGAAAAGAGTGTCAGAGGCATCTAATATGACTTTGATAAGGGTCTGAGTCTCCTTATCTGCACTCTAGTGCTAAGCGTATCTAACATGGTACAGCATACAGCATGGTACAGCATATATGGATTTTATAAACCTTAGAGATTTTATAGATCTTAGAAATGCTCTGTGAGTTAGTGGAATAAGTGATTCCAAATCCTAGATTTCTGCTTCTTGGTTCAGGGCTTTCTATGCTAGTCTGACACCAGATTCAGCATAATTTTTAGGGGCTCTAACATAATAGTGCAAATAAAATTCAAATTGAAAAATTTTGTAATCACCTCTCCTCTTCCTCTGCATACTTTTGGAATAATGCTGAGCTGGGAACTAATTCAGTAGAAAAACCAGGCTAAATTTGGTACCTGACATGAATGATAACCTAATCTTAAATTCCTCTTGGCAATCATTTATGATACAGATACTTAAATATATCCCTTTTTGGAAAGTTGGGAACAGGAATGCTTGGTCACCTTGATTTATAGATAGAGAAGTTGACAGACATTGACATGGGGTAGGGTTTTTATCCAACTTTTAAACAACCCAAGTTTGTTTTTAAAGCTGTGAAGTACTGAGTACTTATCATATACTAGTAGGATGCTTTAATATGCATTACTTAATTTAATATGCATGACTTAATTTAATCCTTGTAATGAACCTGTGCAGTGAGTTTAATTATCCTCATTTTAGAGGTGAGGAAAATTAGCTTCTCAAAGATTAAGCAAAAAAACAGAGTCATATGGTTAGTCAATGACCAAGTAAGGAAAAGAGCCCTGGTCCTTAAATCTTTGAAGCCTCTATATTTAAACACTACTGTATAAAACCCCTTCAGGATATTTTTCTTTCAATTTAGAAATATAGAATGTTATAAAGAGCAGCGATCCTGAGAATGGTCAACTGCTACAGGCACTGGGTAGACTTACGTGCTGGCCTCAGAGTTGTGATTTTGAATTTTCCATTTACTTATTCATTCATTTAATATTTACTTCTTTAACCAGGTCCCATACTAGCCACTCTGGGCATGTTCTGGAGAAATATATAGAAAAGAAACAATTGAGTAAGACAGGAAAGCAATTTATTTTATAGTGTGGGAAGGGTATTTCATGTAAGCTTTGGGAAGCAAAAACACTGGCTAAATCTCTGTCCTGAAACATGGAGGCTACTTACTACCTTATGCTTGTCTCTTTGCTTGTTTAAATGAATGAAGTGTCGTAAATGACTCTACACTGAGCTGTGGGTCTGTGCGGGAAGAATTGACAAACTATGCCAGGAAGTTGGGCAAAACTTTACAAAAGAGCAGCTCTTGGAAATAGGTTATGAGAAATGAGGGCTATGTGATTTACCATCATTTCCTTTTTGTTTCTTCCTCCCGAAAACAGGCTCTCCAAAAGACGCATTGCCTCCTCAGATCTATTCACCAAATGATCTTGTGGTCTACGAGAAAGAACCGGGTAATTAGAGCTGTGCCTTTTAATTTCAGTTAGATTGTCTTAATGACAAGGAATAAACATTTTATTCCTTTATGCATGCAAATAAAGGAAACACATAAATTGAAACTGAAATGTCTTCAGAAACCAAGGCAGCTCCTCTATGGATCTCTGAGGCAGCTCTGGGATGCTCAGCTTCTCTCTCCGCAGCTGCTCCCTTCTTCCCCTGCAATGGCTCCCCTCTCCTGATTAGTGATTTCTGTCTGATGTACACATTAGTTTGCACATGGCTTGGGTTTGCCAAGATTGCAACATGAACACAAGGCATCCTCTAAGCTTCCATTGCTGAGGGGCCAGGGTGGGAGCTCAGAGACAAGACTATGAATTTAATGGGTAACAACTGGTCGAACTAGTACACCCTGATCAACGTGCCAGCGGATGTTTCCTATGGCTTTCTGGGTCTCCTTTTATTTTTTCATTTTCATAATTTTCCATTCTGGACAAAAATCATTTGTGACCGACTGAATAAAGCATCATTTGTTATTCGCCTCCCACAGTTAAGCTGAAAACCATAGAAAATTTAAGGATTTTCTGTATTGTATCCTTTACAATAAATTCACTCCAAACCCAATGAAAGGTGTAAAAGAACATATTTTTCAAATATACTAAAGATAAAAGAAGTCATGATCAAAATGTAGGTAGAGAACAATGGTGCCCTCCTACAACTAAAATAAGGTTGCAGATAGTGAGCTGCCTGCTAAAACAAACAAAAACAAACAAACAAAACAACAAAAAAGAAAACAACAACAAAAAAATCCCACACATAAAAATGAAGAATACACAGAAAGGTCTGCCAACCCCAAATTTCCAACCACATTTCCAAGAATTCATAGTGGCTTTCTATAGTAATATGAACATTCTTCCTGCTATTGGGGTAAACCCTTACTAATGATCTATTATATTTTATCTACCTACCATATGGTTACAGAATCTATGTTCTGCTTACCTTCCTGCATATTAATACAGAAACTGAAAGAAAAAGTGTAAGCCCTATGCATTAGAAGAGGGGACAGAGTAGGACCCCTCAGTGAGACAAACTTGAGTCCAAATTTGGATGATAATATAATTTGGCCTCTCCACCTGCACACTTGCTGAGAGTGAAAGCTGTTGATACCAATACCTAAGAAAGCAAGCATATAAGGAGGGCACAGGATGAGATAGATGAGCACTGGGTGTTATACTATATGTTGGCAAATTGAATTTAAATTAAAAAAAATTAAAAAAAGAAAGCATAGAACAGGGCTGTCCGGGGCAAACTGGAATGAAAGTCAATCTGGGTCAAATTCTGGTCTGCCACTTATTAACAGTTTCATCTACGAATGACATTTTAGGTCTTTAAGCATTAGTTTTCATGTCTATAAAACATGGATTTAAAAAAAACCCATAGTAGTTTGTTAAGATTCTGTAAAATCACTAGTAAGTGATAAATATTTAGCACAGTGAATTATATAAACTTTTTAGTAAAGGAGCTGCTGCTCTTCTTATTATCATTTTCTGCCCGGAGATCCCCCTGACCTCTTGTTCCAATTCAGAAAGATAGCACACATTTATTATTCATAAGTATTAGTATTTATAAATATATAAATATTTGCTGTATATATTGTACTTAAACATATATGTGTGTGTGTATATATATATATAATCTTTAAACTTATTGACTACACTTTGATAACCTGAGGATTTCAAGATCTGGCCTGCAGTGTGGCACATGGCCCCATCTTTTCTGGGCCAAGCACCCAAGATCTGGAGAGTCCCTCCTTAGTCACTGTTTGTGAGGGAAATAACAGAAGAATAGCCTGTGGAAGGTTAGGGCTAAAAAGGATGTTGTCAGAGCTTCTTTGAACAAATACTGTCATGGTACAGCATATATGGATTTTATAAAAAGATGATCATTCTGGAAATTTTGTATAAAGCTGCTGTACTTCTTTTCTTCATTTATTTGCAGTGAAGTATGGCACATTACTATGGTAGGCCACTTGAAAATTACTCAGAAGTAGTTTTAAGTCCTCGTATAGCTTCTGATTAGTCACAGCGTGGAACCAGTGTAGCCATGTGAAGGTTACACACTGATGGGTTAACTTGTTTTTTTAGGAGAGGAGCTACTCATCCCCTGTACAGTCTATTTTACTTTCCTGAAGGACGCCCGCAATGAGGTTTGGTGGACCATTGACGGAAAAAAGCCAGACGACACCAGTATTGATGTAACTGTTAATGAAAGGTACCATTGGCTCAGACAAGGGGTGATCAACGCTTGTCCATCAATTGAACGCCCTCTGATGTATACTAATCACTGAAAGTAAACACTGTGACTTTGGCCCATCATTACCAAAAATCAGTAAGATTTTCAAGTCTTTAGTGGCTGCATCCCAAAGAAGGATTGCTGGACTTGCATTTCCAGACTCAGACATCTTGTGATGATCACATATTCATAATTTCCACTTGGAAGTAGGTGGGATGGTGCATAGCCCACATGAATGAAAGGCCACAACACAGGGCTCTGAATACATGAAATCTGTTCAATGTCACCCTGTTATTTTCTTTCTCCAGTCTGGAGTCTAGACCTCTGTATTTATGCCTCAGAAAAATTATATTAGTGTCTTGTCTTGCAATAAGGATATATATTCCCTATCTTCTCCTTCATTCTTAACTCCCCACAGCATGCACATCACATTATAATTGATAATTATTATTTTTATAAATATTGACTAAATATATTCACATTCTTTAAATTTTATTTTTAAAGTGGATGAGGTGGTAATATAGCTCACTCTTTAAATAACAGGCTGGGTCATTTTATTTCTAAACAAATATAACTTTTTTTGAAGGGATTTGGGTTCACCAAGAGGAAAATGTGGGTCTTTGAAGACAAAAGGTTCTTCTGGAAATGAAGCCTACAAGTGCAAGACAACCAAGTGGAATTGGTGCATGGCAATAATAAAAGTTAGCAGCTGACCAACCACATCAGAAAGTAGCTCTAAGAACTTAAGCCTTAAGATGATATGCTGATAGGTCTTTGGCCACTTGAACTTCTAGAATTCAAAAGATATGCTGTTCCTAATAGTAAATTCAGACTTCGTGCAGAAGTTATGTCTATGTTGCATCAGGTGCTATGCAAGATACCTTGTTCCTAACTGAGTAGATTTTATCAGAATAAGAATGATAGAACAGAAATTTCAATATATTGTAATAAATGCTGTGACTGGAGAGTATTGGATGTTATCAGAAGCATTAGTTGAGGAATACAGTCAGTTTTAGGGGATTAGGCAGTGCTTCTTAGATGGTACAGTATCTGAAGATTTGAAGGATGAGTAGAAATAAACTAGGTAAAGAAATAGAATATTCCTGGTAAAAGGAACATCATGTGCAATGGCTTGAAGTTAGAGAAGCAGAACATATGTAAAGGTAGAGGAGTCTCCTGAAATTGGAGAGGCTTTTTTTTTTTTCAGAAGGAATTGATTAAAGATGTGGCTGGAGGACAAAGGGAGAGTTATTGATCACTTCAAGAATTCTGAACATTTCTATCATAAGAAGAATGAATGAATGGTAATGAAAGCCATGCTGTTCATCCTTGCTACTACTGCAGCACAACTCAGTGTTCAGAGTAGGGCCATGCCGTTCACTTTAGGCTAAACCCATCACAACCCTTGACCAAGTTCTCATGACTGATGGTAAGCCTTATTGGAAGGAGAACTTGGATGTCCACTTATAGGAGGGAGATTTTGTTTTCTCTTTGGAGCAAGTGGTTCCAAGGGATTTTAAAACTTGATCTAGTACCCAAAGCACTTGATCTCTGACATGCTGAGATTTGGATGTATTTATCTTCACAAAGCTTACTTGCTTTGAGAAGTTTCTTCTTTTTATAATGTTAGGATTTAACCCATGGAGTTTTATCCTTTTCACTGGAATATTCTACCTATGTTCAAAATCCAAGCTTTGGGAATCTCTGAAATGCATGAACTGTTGCTGAGGTTGGCAAAATAGCTTATATGAATATTATGAATATTTTTGAAAAATTTTATTTCTTTATTAGAGAGAGAGAGAGAGAGAGAGAGAGAGAGAGAGAGAGAACAAGCAGGGGGAGCTGCAGAGAGAGAGGGAGAAGCAGGCCCCATACTGAGCAGGGAACCCAACATGGGGCTTGATCCTAGGACCTTGGGATCATGACCTGAGCCAAAGGAAGACACTTAACCGACTGAGCCACTCAGGCTCCCCAATATATGAATATTTATTAAGCATTGTTCTAATACTTACACACTGACATAATTGTCAGAGTACTTGAGTAAGTCAATACATGTAACGCACTGTGTAGGCATTGCTATTTACCTCTCTTTCAAAGGAGGAACAGATTAGTTACTGTGCCTAAAGTATACAGCCAGTAAGTGGCAAAGCTTGGATCAAAACCCAGATAGATCTGGCCTCAGAAGCTTCTCTCTACACTGATACAGAATACTGTTTCAGAAGTGTGAGGGCAGGAGACATTTTGCTGTGAGGAGAGATCTGCCATATGTTGCCAGCAATGGGGTTTGATCTAGATACTGGAATTGCATGTGGTATAGAAGGTAAAACATGGTACTGGAATCTAGAAGCTTTCCTACCTTTGTAACCATCGGATCTCAGGCAACACAGCTCATGGACATTCTGGCCACCCTCACTTGGGGGCTCTGTGGTTGTCTCCTTGTCTGATTCACACACAGGGCATGGCCCTGTGGTCTCACTCATGCTTTGATTTTCTTTCCCCTATTTCTAGTGTAAGTTTGACTGCAACTGAAGATGAAATGAGAACTCAGATTTTGAACATCAAAAAAGTTTCTGCTGAGGATCTCAAGCGTAACTATGTCTGTCATGCTAGAAATGCCAAAGGAGAGGTTGACAAAGCAGCCAAGGTGAAGCAGAAAGGTAATGGATGCACTCAGCAGATGAGTCTGTGAACTCCAAATGTAACATTGTGGTGAATAAGGAAAATGAGAAGAGAGTGCTCCAGCACCTAGCACATCTGGCACATAGTAATGAATCAAAGATGAACTGAAAACCCTAAGGGCAAATTTCCAGCTATGTAAAGACACTCAAAATATTGTTTCTTATGCTTTTAGTAACTTAGTGCCCAAATATGGCCAAAAAACTTATATGATTATGAAAATGAGGCATAATCTTACATCAGTACAGTCATGAAAAATGAAAAATAAAACATTTAAAGCTACCAAAGATATAATAAAACTGGTAGAGTCATATATAATTGGTGGATTGTAAAGACTCTTTTAGAAATCATTGATGGCAGAGTTCAAGGGTCATAAAAATGGCCGTACTATGACTTAATACTTTCGGAATTTTTCCTGAACAAATAACAGAAAGAGAATTATGTACCCATCACTATTCTTAGAAGCATTATAAATAGCAGCCATCTAATTATAGTCAAGTAGTTGAGTAAAATATAAAATATTTCTTCTCAAAAATATCATTTTAAAATAATCATTTTAAATCTTTTGTACCAGTATTCAAACAGATTTATAATATACCACTAGCCACAATTGCTAAAATGAAAATTATTTAAACTGTGACTTAAAATAATGTAAAAGGATTTCCATGTTGATATTACTAATTTTTTCTACAATAAATAAAAATGATAAAGCTCTCTTGTGTGAGCTATTGCTACTGAAACAGACTGTGTCTAAAATTATCTTTGGGTCTCTCACCTAACACAGAACCCCAGACAATTAATCCTTTCAAGAATGTGTTTCAATGACTTAGAGAAAGATAATGATGATTTATCACACATGCAGTCACGTCATTCAGAATCATCGTGGATCTTAGTGTCAGAGCCTATATTATTTATAGCAAAAGTAAGGGAAAAAAAGAAATTAACTCATAGCTATTACATTTTGCAGTGGGATTTGAACCTTTTTTTTTCAAAGCTACTGCAAAAACAGGCTTCACCTTAACATTTCATTACAATTTAGAAAGTAAAAAGCAGAGTCCTGAAGTCTATATACCACTTAAGAAGTCTTAGTGGATTGGTTCTGGAGAGTTCATTGTTTCTGCTCCTCAGAAGCCAGTGTAAAGCAACAAGACTCAATCAAGTAATATAAGGCAGTTTCCCAAAGTTAGTTACTAAGAATACTACTTGGACTATTTATAGTACTGCAGTTCATTATTTGTACTCTAGATTCAGATGACCTGTGTTGGAATCCTGGTTTCTGTGCATCCTAACTCCATGAATCTTGAAAAAAAAAAAACAACAACAACAACAAAAAAAAAACAAACCCTTAACCTCTCTGAGCTTCAATTTCTTTATATTTGAAATAGACAAATGATACTGCTGTCTCATAGGGTTGTTTTAAGTCACTCAGCACAATTACTGGCCTATATACATATATATTAAGTGCTCAACAAATATTAAGTCTACTTATTTCCACAAAATTTTCACAGGTACTATTTGACAAAGGCTTTTTACAATAAATAAAGTATCATTAAAGGCTAGATTAAACAAAATCAAGCAAGTCATTTTAGTTAAGGGCCTCTTAGAGTCTTTCACATTATTAACATTTGGTATGAATATCTGCAGGGAGTTGGAATATAAGAGACAGGGTTTTCTTTGAAATATATTTGACTGCAGACTTCTGAAGTATGGAGCATTTTGTAGGACTCGTGTTTTGAAGCATGTATTTTGGGAAAGTAGCACAGAGGATGACATTAATTACTTATTGTCAGATAGATAGGATTAAATAATCAATTAAAATCATGTTTAGTCTCAGAGCGATGCAGAAGTCTGCCTGCCAGAGCTATGTGAGTAGCTCCCTTTCACAGAAGGCCATGCTCTGAATGGTTAAGTACGAATGGCATCAGGAATGTAAGGTGCATCCAGTGTACTGGATGATCTATGCTGAAATTACATCAATATCACATAGACTCCAGTCTGGTCTGTGTACATCCTGTGGGTTGTGGTTTTGTTACTTGGCTTCCATTCTGGGCCAGGTAATGTTGAAATCCAGAGGTAATATTTGTGTTTGCATTCATACATTATATGTATGGGTCCTTTTCTGGATTCATTGACAAAGCATGCTATGTCTTTCATCAAAAAGAAGACAGGAAGTACTCAAAATAAGAAAAATTCACTGGGATAGGTCTTTGGACACTGGGATAGGTCTTTGGACAACACAGTTTCATCTAGTCAGTTAAAACAGAGTATTAAAGGAGAGGCAGCTAATGTAAATGTGATAAACATGCAGTTGTTTTATAATAGGAAGGATATAGGGACTAAGGCAAGTTGTGTGGTGAACTTTATGAGAAACTGCCAAACTTATTTCCAAAGAGGCTGCACCATTTTGTACTTCCACTAGCAACGCATATAAACCCCAGGTGCTCTACATCCTTACCACCTTTTGGGGTTGTCAGACTTTTCAATTTTAGCCATTCTAGTAAGTAGGTAGTAGTATCACACTATATTTTTTAAATTTGCATTTGCAAATACTAATGATGTTGAGTACTTTTTTACAGACTTACTGACTGACCACTAATTAATATTTTTTCCTTTTGTGAAGTATCCATTAAAATATTCAGCCCATTTTGTTGTTGGGTTGTTTGTTAATGAGTGTGTGTGTGTGTGTGTGTGTGTGATATAACTTTGTGAATGTTTTAATCACTGTGCATTATTTTTGATGAGCAGAATTTTAAAATATTTGATGAAATCCATTTTATCAATTTCTTCTATATTTCTAAATCCTGTGCATTATTTTTGATGAGCAGAATTTTAAAATATTTGATGAAATCCATTTTATCAATTTCTTCTATATTTCTAAATCCTATATTAGCAATCTTTGATTGTTAAAAATCTTAGCTTTTTCTTTTATATTTAGGCCTGTGATTAATTTTAAATATTTTTTATACTGTGAGGTATGGCTTGGTGTTTTGTTTTGTTTTCCATATAGAAATCAGTTGTTCTAGTCTCATATTGAAAAATCTCTCCCTTTTTATTGATTTCTTTTTGACAACTTAGCCAAAAAAAATTAACTCTATGAGCATGAGTCTATTCTCTGTTCCCTCTTCCCTGTTCTGTCAATCTGTTCATCTGTTTGTAGTCCAATACATACTACTTTGTCTTGACTGACAGCTTTAAAGTAAGTCAGGAAGTCAGAAACTATTGTCTTCTTCCTTTTTTTTCTTTCTCTTCAAAGGTTAATCTGACTATTCTAAGGATCATATTATTCTTTCAAACAGATTTTAGTATTGGCTTGTTAATTTCTCAATAAGAATCTGCTAGGATTAGATTGGTATCATGTTAAATTTATAAACCTATTTGGGGAGAATTGAAATCTTAACAATACTGAATTTTCCAATCCATGAACATGATATATCTCTGAATTCATTTAGTTCTCATTGATTTTTCTCAGCTTTTTTGTTTGTTGTTTTATGTATACAGGACTTGCACACATTAAATATATCCCTAGAGATTTGTTTTTGTTGTTATTATAATGGTATTTTTAAATTTTCACTTTCAATTGCTCATTGATAGAAAATAGAAATGAATTAGTTAATTTTTGTATTTGATATTGGTCTTTGACTCCTCCCAATTCACTGCTTAAATAAAGTTTTTCCTTGTTTTGTTTGTTAGGTTCCTTAGGATTTTCTAGACACTTGATTGTGTCACCCATATATAAATATATTTTTCCACCTTCCTTTCCAAGCATTATGCCTTTGATTTCTGATCTTGTCAAGTCTCATCCGACCTATGCAAAGCTTTATATTTTTCCAAAGACTCAAGGTCACCCCTTGGAGATTTATAGAGCTCTTTTTCCACACAGTTTTCTTTCTTATTTACCCAGGCCTGTAAATTCACCCCAATTCAATAGTTCTGAACTGTGATTTCTGTGTCCTTAGCTGACTGTGATGGCTGTATTTTTGGTCTTTCCTATTCTATGCCACAGTCTGAAAGTGCCTTCAGGCAAAAAAAAAAAAAAAAACAAAACAAAAAAAAACAGGGTGATGACAGGGCTCAACTTTTTGTGTCCTTTCTCAGACAGATCACACATAGATCAACTGCCAGTTGTCCATCTTAGAAAAACTGTCATTTTACATATTCTGGAAAGAAAGCCACTTCAATATCAATTACTTCTCTAAGGCCAAAAGCTGAAGGGCAAAATGCACAGATCTTAGCACTATGATAGTCATACAAAGCAGGTCTGCAGGTTAATTCAGTTATAGGCCTCCGGTTTACTGTCACCTAAATAAAACATTCTAATGGTGTGTAATACAGAGAAATGGTCATCACATGGTTCATGTGAAAATTATCAAGAAGTCTCAGCAATTTAGTGAAGAATAGACACAGGGTCTGTCCAAGCAGCTGGTGATGGGCTCGGATACCTAGTGGATAGCAAGGCCCCAACTAATGAAGAGAAAAAGTTAAGTTCCCAAGGAACTTAACAACAAGATTATAGATCAACAACTTGAAATCAGAAAACAGACTGGGGCTAAAGTACTGGACTGGTTTAACTCAGGGTGGTTAGCTGGAAACCTGGACCTTGGAGCCCGTTATTACTGTCAAACTGCAAAAGAAGTGGAGGAAATTCTGATTCAGGGAATAACAGCAGAGCAAATGGCTAAAGTTGGCTATATCCTAAATCAATTATAAGTGAGATCAAAGAGAGAAGCAGTTTAGGAATGCAATTTGGTCAAATTGCATCACCCCTTCCTGATTGGAAACCCTTCGGTCTGGGATTGCATCAGATTAAAATCTTTATGCCAAAACATCAGAGGTTCCAGCTGGGGCAGACAGAAAATGTGAGCCGAGGGTCATCCTTTCCCTGTAAGCCAGCAAAGCTTTATATGAAAGCTTTTTAGAACATTTCCTGCATGTGGTTCAAGCCATTTAAAAATTCAGGCTTGTGGATTATTTATCTTAAGAGTTCAATTAGTTAAATAGTATCAGGAACTACTTGATATCATCAAGATGGCCCCACAAAATACAATCTATAAATATGACATATGTAATTAAATGACCCAAAACCAAAGTAAAAATTCACACTAAAAGTAAAAATAGGCAGTAGTAAAATGAATGTGGCAGAGGGAAATTTATGAGAGTAATTGATCTTTTGATCATTAGGCAAGATATCTATTGATATTTTTTTAAAAACCCATTTCAGGTAAGTGCATCCACTGACCTCTTTTTTCCCTCCCTATTACAAAATGTCCAGCCAGAAGGAGCCAAAATAACTGAGCAAATAATGAAGATGACAGTGGGAATTACCCCAGTGTACTGTTAACATAACATGTGCTCAGAAATACCAAGGACACAGCAATTTTCATGCCAGCTACCTAAATTGATCTTAGTAAATTCTTAACAATTGCACTGACATAGCTTTTGACATTTGATAATGAAGTTTTCTTGTTTTAAACACCACTATTCATGGAACAAGCATGAGATACCTGGTAATAATTCTGCATTGCGGAGTTCCAGGCTATCTCTGAGATAGCATTAGCATCCCGAGTTTAGGGTAATGAACTTGAAACTCAAAGATCTGCCCTTTAATTAGAGAACTTTAGGCTCAGCTCCAGGCTGCTTACCATTTTTTCCCTTAGGAGAGATACCTGCTTTAAAAGGGATTTTTCTACTAGCGTATGATCAATAATTAAACTTCACGGCAGAGCTCTGCAAAGATCTCTGGACTTTGGAGTGAGACCCTGGATAACAAACCCAACTTTGAACAAAATTCCTCTGTGCCTCACCTTGGCAAGCACTTAACATAATGTCCAAGTGATCAAAAAGCCTTTTCTCACTACCTGACCTGATATACCTCTTGTGCCCCAGCCCAGCCTCTCAGTACCCCATCATATCACCCTGCCTTATTGCCTTTATAGCACTGATTGCTACCTAACATTAGTTGTCTTATTATTTATTTCCTTGCATTAGAATACTAACCCTAAGAGGGCAGAAACCCTCTTGATCTTATCTACTATTGTATCCCCAAAAGCTTCTGGCAAATAATAATGTTGATAAGTAATTGCCAGATCAACTAATACATAATTCAAGCCACTTCTGCTTCAGATCCAAATATTCTATTCCTTCTTCAAACACTTATGCTTCATTATCACAAGCTAATAGTGCAAACAAACGAAATTGTTGATACATAGTAGAGTACTAGATTTCTTTTAAATATTCCAGGAGTAGATGGTGCTATATCTGGAAATGTTCATTGAGATCCTACGTATTCTAGGGGTAGGATGGATGAAGAAGACACAAATGAAGACTATAGATGTATAGTTTAGGGGGGGGCAAGAAAGAATGGAGAAGCAGGCTTCTAGACAAATTACAGTATAATATAAATGCTGTAATAGAATTATAAACAATGAGAAGAGTAGGAATTTCTGCCGGGCAGATGCCAGATTGCAAGAGGAGTTTCATTCTAGAAAAGCTTATACAAAATAATGACACTTGAGCATGGACTTGAACACTAAAGAAAGAGAAAAAAAACTATTCTTGCCAGAAGTCAAGTACGAACAAAGATATGAAGTGAAACCTTCCTGATGTTTTTTGTGGGAAAGGTAGTGGTAAATGAGACAGTACAGTGGTTAGTGGTTTGGTCATGACAGACTTGTTTACAGGTCTGAGTTAATACCTATCTAGTTTTTAGGAAGTCAGAAATTACCTCTTTCTATTTCTCATAGTTCCAAAGAAACTGATAAAATGCCTTTAATATAAAAGTAAGCAGATACTATGGAAATCTGTCCATACCTGGATATTACATTTCAGAATGTGTATCCTAGAACTATAAACCGAGAGATACTTTCAACGCCAAGCATACTCAGCATTTGGTGGAAACCCTCTCTCTCTGCCCAAAGAAAATAAGATTTTTGAGGCTTTTCCCTAAATTTATAGGAAAGGTGATTAAATTTTTCCACATGGCACTGACAAGAGGATGGAATTAAAACTAATGGAAACACATTGAGATTTTCACTCAATCCAAATGCTCCAACAATTAAAATCCTATCAGTATCATGGTCTGTTCTAGGTGGTAGTAAGGATTCCATCCCAAGAGATAGGTAAACAGAAGATGGAATTACAGTTCTCAAAAATATTTTTGAGGAGATTCACATATCAGATCATGAGTTGAATGAGATGACCTTCTAAATCCTTTCCGGTGCAAAAATGTGTATACAACTAATATATGATTTATATACCATTAATATGTATTAATTTATATAACACCAAACTCTATTCAAGTCATCTGATAGTTAAAAATACCCACATCAGGTGCTGGCAACAAAAAGATAAAATATGACACAGTTAGGTATTAAAACATAGTGCTTAAGCCCTATCATGTTATCTCTGCTTGTTCACACATATAAAAGTCAGGTGCATGGCTCAGCTGTTTGGCTTACCAGCTATTTGCGGGATGATGGATCACTGTGATCACCACGTAGAAATCAATTGTTCCTCTGTTGTTCACTCCATTGATAGCTCCAAGATACACAGTGGAATTAGCATGTGGTTTTGGAGCTACAGTCCTGCTGGTAGTGATTCTCATTGTTGTTTACCACGTTTACTGGCTGGAGATGGTCTTATTTTACCGGGCTCATTTTGGAACAGATGAAACCATTTTAGGTGAGTAATGAAAGTTTGATGTAAGTACTTTCTACTGTCATTTTCAGAAAACACGTTGGCTTGATAAAAGCGAGAATAACTGAAAGATCTAATCAAACTATTTTTTGACTCAGCCCTTACTATTACAAATCCTTTTAATGTATATTATTTTGCTTTCTTGGCTCAATATGTGTTTGGTCTAAATTAGCCCATCCAAATAGATGTATAATGCAAGCCACATACATAATTTCAAATTTTCTAGTGGTCACAGTAGGAAAAGTAAAGAGAAAGTGAAAATTAAATGTTAAATTTATTATTTAACCCAATATATTTAAAATATTATTATTTTAGCATACAACAAATATTTAAAAGCTAATGGTGATGTTTTAGTCTTATATCTTGGTAATCAAAATCTCATAATTTAGCATGTGTTATATTTTAAATTTACAGCACTTCTCCATTCAGACCAGCTGCATTTCAAGTGTTTGATAGCTATATATAAACTGTGACTGGACAGCACAAGCCCACAGTCTTTGTACTTAAGGGTGGTCCATGCACCAGCCACATCAGCCTCACATGGGAGCTTGTTCAAAGGAAAATCTTAAGCTTAACCCATACTCCGAGCAGGATCTACATTTAAATAATATTCCCGAATGATTCAAGTACACATTAAAGTTTTAGAAGCACCGTACTAGTGCAAATTTGTATGGTGACAAGAAAGGAACAATGAAACGTACTGATTTTTAGACTAATCCTGAAAAGATTTTCATTCAGTAGTTTTGTGGAAAAGACAAATAACCTATATTTTTACTGAGAGGTGCTGTTTATAATTAGGCAACTTTGGGAAAGATGAGTTTATTGAATTTAAGTATATTTTTAATTGGAGTTATTTTCAGGTACAAATAATTTAGACACTTTCTAAAATTTTGCTCAGTGTATAATTCTAATATATTAGTAGTGACAAAGTAGGACAGGAACTAGAAATTCTCTGTATGGTATTAATTGCTAGCACCTACGATCGACTATTTGAGCCCTGATTGGGTTAATTCATAGTTGAATGAGCCAAACCTCATTTATTCTCCGCTGTAAAAACTATACTCAGTGATGTGAGAGTAGAAGACACATCAGATAAAATTTACAATTACACCTTAAAATAGTCATTTTGCCTGGAGCCCTGTCACAAGTGGGAAACCACCCTGAAATCTGTCAGATAATTCATACATGTAAAAAAGTGAAAATGTCTAGTATGCAAAAGTTTGATTTAAGAAAAAAATGCAATAATATTGTGAAACTTTTCTAATTTATATTGGATCTCTCTTCCTTTTGCTAGATGGGAAGGAATATGATATTTATGTATCTTATGCAAGGAACGCAGAGGAAGAAGAGTTTGTGTTACTGACCCTCCGTGGAGTTTTGGAGAATGAATTTGGATACAAGCTGTGCATCTTTGACCGTGACAGTCTACCTGGGGGAAGTAGGTATTTCACATGAGTACAACTGATGCCACCCTGAGTGGCAAAGGGAATCCTTAGTTTAGGGTCATGTAATAGAGTCATGACAGAGTTCTGTGCTGGCATCTCTGGATATTTAACGTCCAGTTGTTTGATGTAATAGAGGCTTATTTAGGAATAAAATTACATGGTGTGTTGTAGGTTATTGAGGTGCCATTTATGGCATTAAAACTGTTCCCCTTTGTAAGCTTTAAGAACTCAACATCAGGAAAGTGTGGATGTGGAGTGGATTATAATTCTATTAAATGCCTCATTTTTAAATGTTCTCCTTTACATACATTTAGATTTTTAGAAGGTTTAAGCTAATCTGCATTAATTTCCCTAGAATTTTTTTTTAAAAAAACTTTGAGTTTAAACAACACTTTTACAAAGACTGAGGCTTACTTGATTTTACTAAGAATGAGTTTGTGAAGAGAGTGCATGGAATCTTTCTTTGTAGTATTCATTGATAATAATTAGAAAATTTCCCTGTGGCATTTGCTAATTTTCCTTTCCACACTTTTGTTTTCTGGCAAGCCAATGCTATTTAAATCACTCCTTTTTCTTGGGTCTGTTTCTTCCTTTCCAGCTTGTACATTTGCGATGTAGCTTAAAAAAATTTTTTAAAGGCCAGTATATTCTAGTAGGTTAAAAAAAAGAGAGAGAAAGAACTTGAATTGCTGAATGGATTTCAAATAAAAGTACACCTCAAATTTTCAGATCCACCCAATAACATACAAAGTGATGATCCAACTGAGTCTGTTTTAATAAATACATAGAAGCACTACTAAACCCACTGCCAAACTTCTTACTGTTGAAATGCATGTAATGTATTTAATCCTCACCACAACAAACTAATTTTCCTCACCTCCAATCCTGTTTATGTGAATCATTTCAGGTGTTTAAACAATATTATATGGAAAATGGAGATACAAAATATACTTAAATGTTTATCCTCATTTCAAATTAGCTGGACCACTTATTTTATCTCCTTAGTCATTACCTAGAGTCCCATCATGCCAGTGATCTACAGTGGATATCTCTTTCAGTATCATTTTTCCAGGAAATGATGACTTGATTATACAACGAAGGGACACATTCCACTTATTTTAATGCTTAAAACCTAAGTCACTTACTCATCCATTTATCCGTTCATTCTTCCATTCAACAAATATTTATTACGGTGTAAAAAGTTATATAAAGACATACAGCATAACAACAATGACCCTTCAATAGGGGTTTGTAATTCTCCGAAGAATCCAAGTTCTCCGTAATTACTCTTGCATCTTGCTTCTGATGGTCGGTCCTTGCTATCTGCATTCTCCCTGTTGCTCTTCATCCTCTGTGCCTGTGGGTCTCTTTCCATGCTTACACATCATCTGCCTCCAGCAACGCTGCATGGAGTAGATAATTACTTATTCCTGGATTCTCCTCCGGGCTGCACATGGAATTTTAATTTGCCTCTGTACCTGTGAAGATGAAGGGGCAAAATGGCTGCTTAGGGGCATGTCAGAAGCCATGAAATAGCTTTGCATTCCCTGGAGTTGGCTTCTCTTTGAACCCCAGTTAAAGGATTATACAGTCCTAGATAAGCAACCTTGAGGAGATGGATTATTCCCAAGAGTTTGGTGACAGGAACTAATCAGAGCCCTTGACAAGAGAATTAAATTTCACTGAATTTCCATTTTCCCCATTTCTTCTTCTTTTCGGACCTGAAGAAAGCATTTGCCTATTAGTGAAGGCAGACACATCAGCTACCAGCTACTGAAACACATGTCTTCATAGTAATGACAGGAGTTTAAGGAGAAAGATCTAGGGACTAATTTAGGCTCTAGAGCAGAGAGCAGAATAGGAAGTTGAGCTGAGAATCTGATGCCAGCCAAAATGCCTTTCAGTTGGCTAGACTTTTTAAAATTCCTATTCTAAGGACACAGTGATACCAGTCTGAGTTGGGTAGGAGTCTGGCAATGGAGAGGAACTTTCAGAAAAATGAATGTTCCTACTCTTGCTTTCCTATGTTAGTGAGAAATGAATTTCCATGGTTTTGACTCTACAGTGATTATCTTTTTGAATAGCCACTGGCTTTAGAGAGTGAATACATGGGTACTGTTGGGGACAAATGTCGCAGGAGCTTATTTGGCTGAACTGCAGTGTGCCATGTGTTTTGAAGAAATTGATATCTGTACAACCCATCTATTTCTCATTATACTCGGCTTTGTGCCTGTTTGGAACTCTTGGGGGGTGGAAATGTGCATATAGTTTTCAGTATCTTGAAGGAACATGGCATTTATTGGACAGAATGAGTGGGTATAAGGATTAAGATGTTGCAAATGTTCTTGATAACAGTTTCAACTCAATTCGTAGGCTGTTACCCTAAGTTCCCTACACTTGCTCCTCAAGCCCCAGGCTTTTGGGGAGTTCTTGGCCAACACTAATCCCCATGGTGTTTTCTTTCTCAGTTGTCACAGATGAGACCTTGAGCTTCATTCAGAAAAGCAGACGCCTCCTGGTTGTCCTAAGCCCCAACTACGTGCTCCAGGGAACCCAAGCCCTCCTGGAGCTCAAGGCTGGCCTAGAAAACATGGCCTCTCGGGGCAGCATCAACGTCATTTTAGTACAGTACAAAGCGGTGAAGGAGACGAAGGTGAAAGAGCTGAAGAGGGCTAAGACGGTGCTCACGGTCATTAAATGGAAAGGGGAGAAATCCAAGTATCCACAGGGCAGGTTCTGGAAGCAGCTGCAGGTGGCCATGCCAGTGAAGAAAAGTTCCAGGTGGTCTAGAAGTGGCGAGCAGGGTCTCTCCTATTCATCCTTGAAAAATGTATGAGGGACAACGAAAGGGGTCAGAGGAACCAAGGGCACTCCAGAAAGGAAGAATTCCTTTTCTTGATTCCCAATGTATTGGTTCACAGACAGAAAAGAATGCTGTTGAAGCCTCCCCATAGGGATAAATCCAGAATGACTGTATAACTGGTTGTTCTGCTTCCTCAGGCAATACTAAGGTTTAGAATGGTGGTGCCACCAGTCTGTCACCATCAGACCATCTGACGTCACTATGTTCTTCACAGGCAAAGACTTGGTTGATGCAAATTTCCCCTTTCTACATCCTCTGTCCCTGCTCCCACGTCTCTAATCCCGCTTCCTCTCTCATTTTTTTTTTTATCTTAACACTCTTTGGCAGACTTTTGCTGTGAATTCCAAGACCCCTAAAGATAACTCGTCTGTTAGCAAGGTCATTATGAGTCTCCAAGTCATTTTCTTTGTATTTTCACTCATAAGTTAAAAAGGTAATCAGTGCCCAAATGTATTTGAGCTGATGATAACAGGCTTTTTTGCTCATTCTGCTGTGCAGTGTGCATTCACAGCCAGGTTGACACCCACATAGGACACCACGAAGCAGTATAACTGGAAAGTGTTCCTTATGATGGTTTTAAAGGACTTACATGCATTTTCTCCTGCTAAATCCCTCGTGCCCTCCATCTTGGTCATTAATGTCATATTTCTCAATTTGAAAAACCTACCATATTTTTTTTTATTTCAGTAAACTGGATATCTGCAGGTCGACCCATATTTGTCACTTCATCTTCCCTATCTCCTGTACCCTGTATCAACCATTTAGAGTTTGCAGATGGTTCCACACTTGGTTTGGTCTGACAGGAAGCTTCTAATGGTGCTAAGAGAGAGTAAAATAACAGCAAAATGCTTTTAAGGCATTTTCTGGCTTGTGAGAAAAAGCACAGAACAGGGTGTTCAACTATTTGTCTCTTCATCTCAGCCTTGCTAATGTGAATATTAGGAAAGTGATTTCTCCTCACTTGCTTCTATCTCTCCATTGTAAAGTGTGGAAGTTAGACTCAGTGACCTTGTGAGTTGCTTTTAGCATTAATATTCTAAGAGAATTAACTGGACCACACAGTATTTCCAATATTTTATTCGTGGATACAGTTAATACACTCACTCCAAACAAGTCAGTCTGAAAAGTCTCTTCCATGAAACTTGTTTCACTTTGTTTTAAATAAAATTGTACTGTTCTTAAGACTTGGAAAAGTAAAAACTAAGTCCAGAGTTTACAAAGTATTGAATATCTATAGTACGTATATACATACATATATATACACACATAGATACATATATGCACACATAACATATATACATATATGTACACATGGATTAAATATGTATATATATCTACATTGTATATATATACACATGAATTGGATTTGTGTATGTGTATATATGTATGTATGTATATATGTATATATGCACACACATTTATGTACACATGAATGTGACTTTAAATAGCTATTGACACAAAATATTACAAATCACTGGAACTCTTATCCAGTCTTTAAGTTATGTTTTTACTGTGATTCTTTTGTGTCAGTGTTTTCTGTACATTATTTGTAAATTCACAGCTCACAGAGTAGTAGTTGCTAGTTCTCGCCTTCCCTAAATTAATATAAATAACTTATTGCTGCTGCATTTGATCTGGGTGCAGTGGATTCTGTTGGACACAGAGCTCCTATGGTCACTGCTGAGCAGTACCAGTCCTCTGGCATTAATTGATCATCTATTATGTCACAAGCACACACTCATAGAAACTAAACTATGGTAATGTCAGTGTTCAACTACCAGGGAGATAAATCTCTATTTGGACTGTTGAGTAAGAGAAAAAGGAAAATAAAATACTTATAAATAAACCTGAGTATCCTATGAAACACCGTAATTCATAATTTAAGAGAACCCTTATCACAGCATTATGAATGTTAATAAGTAATTCTAAAAGTATCTCCTGCATTTAAGTGTCCTTCAGCAGTGTTAAAGTCCATAATAAATCATTTCTCTATACTGAAGTTATATTTTAAATTGAAGAAAAAAAGCTTCATGAATTCTTTACTATAAAGCTATGATATGGAGTCATTATTCGATCTATTTTTTTCTCACTAATGCTTTTCTTTATTACAAACCACAATTACTCCTCCTGTTAGCTCTTTATCCTCAAGACCAGAGGAGAGCTGACTCCAGATAAGCTTGGAATATCAATTGCATGAATGTTAGGTAATGGGGGACAGTCTCCCATCACAAGGGTCCATTCGTTTGCCAATGCTGCATTCTTTTTGCACTTTTGGATTCGATATTTGTCCTAAACGCTTTTGGGTACCCCTAGAAATTTCTTGATATTCCTCTTCCTACTTATATACTAGTATTTGATATTGAACTTTTCCAAATGCTAAAATCTAAAACATCTCATATCCAAATATGTCTCATTCTCAGATAATTTTGTTTCAAGGTTTTTTGTTTGTTTTATATCTCAAAGGATGCCTGATACAAAATTTTTGAGGGAGATGGGTAAATAAAATTTTGAGAGCAAGGAGAAATTGCTCTATAATGCTAAAAAACTATGTCTCTAAATTTAAAAAAATCTTAATGGTTTTAGATATATGATATAAAGATCTTCTGCACCCAAGTTAACAAAGAACCATGACATATAAAGTGTCTAATTACATAATCTATAAAATTTATTTAATTATCTTCTGTATTGTAACTTAGGTGATTCCCTAGGATTCTAATAAACAAGTACTCCACTGTGTTGGGAAGCAAAAGCATCACTCCACTTGCTAATTATCCATTTTTTTCCATAGGTTTTAATATTTTAAGATTATCTTATTATCTTTTTTATTTTATTCATAAAGTTTTGTATTTTCATTTTTCATTTGATTTGTAAATTTGTTTATTTTAAAAATAAACCATTTATTTTCAGATTTGAATTTTATTTTGTGCATGTGTTTTATGTCTTTATTTTCATGTTTGGGCATAAGAAATGAGAATAAGAAGTATTAATGATACACATAAAAATGTTAGAAGTTATATTAGTTAAATTTCTCTTTCTGAGAGAAATCTGAGAGAAATGAGAACTTTATATCAAGAACATTTTCTTTACATGTGAATAAAAGTTATTTAAATAAAATGAATTGTTCTAGTATACCATGCATGGTTGTGTGTATGTGTGTGTGTGTGAGTTCACATGCATGCGTGTGTGTGTGTGTGTGTGTGTGTGTGTGTGTGTGTAGAGACAGAAAGAATAACAGAGGAGTGAGAGAACAATGGGTGAGGAGATTAAATGTTGCAGTAGTATTTTTTTATTCACACCTATTCTAAAGTAAAGAAACAGAATTTTAAAAAAGTATTATTCACTTATAAATCCACATTTTAAGGTGATTCTCTAAGGTTACCATGAAGAATTGATTCAAATTCAATTACCATTAGCCCTACATTAGTTTAATATTATGTTCACTAGACATTGAATAGTAATAATTTAACCAGAGTCATTAATTCACATGTCTACTGTGTATAGACATTTACATAGAGGTATTTTAAATTTTTAACCATACTATAAGTTTGCTCTTATTATGTGTACTTTATAGATTTAAAGATATTAAGATAAAAATATAGATAAGTGGATAAACTAATATTTGAATTCAGATTCATCTTTCAAATTTGGTGCCTCCTCTCCGCCCCCCCCTTTTTACTACACTTCATGTTTAAGAAAAAGAGAGATTGAGAGATGCTGCTGTTGCATACACCAATAACCTAGCTAGAGAACAAAATTATAGTCCTAGTTTTCTTCTAGGTGAATTCCAGGGAGATTATGATTTTTAAAGGTAGGAGTATTCTAGAGTATTGATGAATTCTAGATCAGAAAACATGACTTCAAAAATAACTTAGTACCACACAAAAAAATTTGGTCTCATCAGTCTATAGCCATACCTTACTTTTTTGAGCCCAACAGAATAATAATCTAATTTATGACTCCCTCTCTGAATAATATTCAGCATTAAAAAATACCAATTCACATCTTCAACTGCAGTTTTTACAGTATGAAAAATATTAAAATATGCCATAAAGAAGGCAGCTTCCTTCAAAGTACTGTGTGAAGACCCTCAGGTATAGACCAACTCGCATCTGATAAGCATCTTCTCCAGCCATTCCTCAATATCATTGAATTCTGCCATTCATATCTGTTTCTTTAGCTTTGTCCTATTTCAAATGCAAATTTTACATTTTCAGGATGGGGTACCAAAATTAAAAAAAAAAAAGCCATTGAGTCTTTCTTTAGAGGACCTAGGACAGCATTTTATTTTCAACAGTGATATCCCCATTGGAGAGAGTGTACATTTTCCTAATGTGATTATTTTGAAGTAAAACACACAACACACACACAGGCACACAGAATTTGAGCACGCAAAGTTCTTTTTGCTGAAATCTATCAATGCTGCCTTAAGATTATATTGTATTTCTCATGAGACGGGAGAAGCAGTAGATTTTTTACTTTTACATTCTCAGGTTTGTGAAAGGCCGCTACACAAATTCTCAGTAGAACTGGGACAAAGCAGTTTCCAACACACACACACACACACACACACACACACACACACACACACACACAGGCTTCAAAGATAAATAAAAGTTTAGATTTAACCTCTAAGATCAAAATGAAAATTCTTTAAAGCTACTTTGCACTCTTGACAAAGCTAGTTAAGAGGTCTTAAAAATTGAGCATATGTCTCTTCCAATTACTCTTCAAATTCATGTTAAATTTACTAATTGGAAAGAACTAATCTTAGTAAGGAGCACAGCTCCTTTATTCTTTGTCAAATTCATAATGATCAAATTCATTGCAAACTTTCAGCTTGTCTTCACAGGCTAAAGTCTCTCCATCACTATTTCATCCCTGGCCCCAAAAGAGTAGATATTCAACCTCATGGCCTGTCTGCAGCACCTGTTTTCAGAATTGTCAATGGCTGTGTTTTACACATTTGGAAATCCTTTCCTTCAGAAAAATCACATTGTTTAAGCCCTTAACTCTCATGAGCTAAGCACTGTATTTATCTCAGAGACCTTCCAGTGGAATCTCTGTCCAAATCCACATCAGTTACTATAGAAAGTTAATGCTTTGTCAGAAGTCTTTAGCTAATGAATTCTTGACCATTGTCTATGTTGTTACCCCTTTAATTGATTTTTAGTCTAATTCTTCATACATATACATGAAAAAAGGAAGAAGATTTTAGTTGATAACAGGATCAATACTATGAATTATCTGATGTTCTGTTCAAAATTCTAAGAATCAAGAGATAAAACTGTGTGGTTCTTAGGAGCTGGTAATTCCCTATTGCTCTTTGCTGATCAGACTATGTCTGGAGCATCGCGTTCAGTCCTGTTCAAAATTCTACTCTTTAGGAGGTACATATATAAACTGAATACTATTCAGGGGAAAATGATAAAAGTGGGAGAAGAGACTTGACACCATGTCTTTTGGGAAATAAGATAAAAATTCTGAAGTTGATCTAAGTCTAAAGATGAGAAGAAAATACAGTGAGGTTAAAATAGTTGTGAAATATTTTAAATATTTGAAGATATCAGATCTAAGACCACCAGATAAAAGTGGCAGGGAAGAATATTTCAAAAAAAATTACAAACAGCTGAAATTAGCTGCTTTTAGAGGTGGTGAATTCCTCATCCTTGAAGGTAGCAGAGGCTTAGCAATCATTGATAGGAGTGGCATAAATGAGATTCATTAACTGGGTAGATTATTTGACACTGAGGTACTTCATTCTTAAGTGTTTATTTATTGCCTCTCCTTTGTAGCATGGACAATGATGAACTACAGTACATGTAAGTTTTCACTAGGCATTGTCCTATCTTTCCATTTTCCTGTAGATACAGTGGAAGCAGTTTTTGACTTCATTCAGAGAAGCCGAAGGATGATTGTTGTCCTGAGCCCAGACTATGTGACAGAAAAAAGCATCAGCATGCTGGAGTTTAAACTGGGCGTCATGTGCCAGAACTCCATTTCCACCAAGCTCATTGTGGTTGAGTACCGTCCCCTTGAGCATCCACACCCAAGCATCCTACAGCTGAAGGAATCTGTGTCTTTTGTGAGCTGGAAAGGAGAAAAGTCCAAACATTCTGGCTCTAAATTCTGGAAGGCCTTGCGGTTGGCTCTTCCCCTGAGAAGTCTGAGTGCCAGCTCTGGCT